CCAAATACATGATACTTTTGGCAATCTTCTTCTCAACAGCATTAACAATCCAAGTGCAAACAATGTTGTTGCAACGTGACCAAGACGCATAATCAGCATGATTCTCATCTAACTCAGGATAGGTTCCATCAACAAATACAGCCTTATTTCTAGCACCTAAAGCCATAAGCATCGATCTACGCCAAGTATTGAAGTTACCAATTCCAGCTAGTTTTTCAGATACAAGAGATATACCAGCATGATCCGCGTAGTGAACATAGAGCGGATTGGAGTTAGGATCACCCATAGACGCCGACGGTGGAAGATGCTCATCAGTGACAGACGAAGGACGATTCTCCGTAGGATTAACCATCAAGAATTTAATAACGGCAACAAGATCCAACAAGAATCAAAAGAAAACGATTGCGCAAGAAAAGAGACGCAAATCAAAGGTCAATAAGAAGACGAAAACGAAATCAGAAGTGCGATTATCACAGAGATGTAGTGATAAATCGCAAAAAATTCAAGAAAACAGAGTTCAACAAACAATTTCTCCAAATCTCGTAAAGAAAGACTCATCGAGAGAGAGAAATAGCGAAAAACGACGAGAAAACTCAGATTTTCCCGAGAAAATGAGCGTGAAAGCGAGATTCACAGCTCTGATACCATATTAGAACTTGAGCTTTCGATGAAGAGAGTAAAGGGAAAGTTAGTTACGGATGGAAAATGTAAAAATGTATTTACTCAAGTCAACGTTTACAATGTACAAACTTCTGTATATATACATAACCGGTTTAGTAAAGGGAAGCTAAACCAGTCACTAAACCACATGATCTCACTAAACCACATGATTCTAATAATCTAATACAACTCCTTCAGCTTCGAGAGTCTTGTGATATCCTGTAACCAGGTTTCACCGGCACCGCTAAGAGTCACAAAACCCATGTTGAGGTAAGTCAGTGAAGGAGCCAGACCCGAAAGCCACCCAAGGTTGCTTGCGTGCACAGTATACGAAGTTGGACCATCGTCACTAAACGCCTGAGCGTAAAGATCAAGAGTCTCGAGCTTCGACAAATTCCCAAGACTTGCAGGAACTTCACCGGAAAACGATGAGAAAGAAAGATTCAGGTACCTTAGACTAACGATATGGCCTAAAAACTGGGGGATCTCCGTGAAGTTGAAATCATTTAAACTCAAGTCCAAATAGCTCAAGAACTTGAGACGGGTCAAAGACGGATTTATCTTACCCCCCAAGCCACCCTTTTCAAACTCACCGTAATAATCATACGGCCTAAGGGTTTGATTCGGGTTTCTGAGATCAATCTTGATGACGTGGCTGGTTCTGCGGTCGCAGCCAACACCGCGCCAGTTGCAGCAGTCAGGTCCGGACCAAGAAGAGAGCCGACCAGAAGGATCAGTGAGTGATTGTTTGAAGGCGAGAAGAGATTGGCGCTCAATGGATATACATTTAGAACTAGATGCTGATACCAAAGCGGGATTTTGGAGAAGAAAGATGAAAATGAGAAAGGAGAAGAAGAAGCTTGGCCTGAGCTTGAGGTCCATACTTCAGTTATGTGTTTGTTGGTTTCTTTATGCTCTCTTTCTTTTGGCAAACGTTAATTTATAGATGTGTTGAAACGCAGACATATTAGACCACAGTTACAATCTATATATTTAAGTGAAATTGCATCCTATACACACTATTTTCTCTCTAATTAGGTTAATACCCTAAACCCCTACACCATGTACCTTTGTTGCTAGAGGGTAACTTATCCTATCATAGGTGGTTTGCTAATTTTCTCATTCTTTTTTGATATTTAGCCAATTAACTCTATATTTAAATACAAATATAAACACGTGAATAATAGCTAGTGTGCATGGAAATAACTCAAATAAGTGTAGTTCAATATTAGATCATTATTACAAGGCTCGTGGTGAGCCGAGTCGGACGACACTCCTTGATTTGATAATTAAATAGTGATTATATCTTTTCTTAAGATGTGGATCTTTGCCTACTAGACATGATTTAGTACTAAATGACTAGATTAATGATTTGTTTACACTGTCTAAAATGCAGTTAATGGTGTTTAGTACTCAGTACTCACTCTGTATACAAGAGATTGATATTCTAATTTTTCTTTTTGTATACAAACAAGGCCGGCCCTTGGAGGACGCACGCAAAGAAAAACATAAGTTTTCGGCCTTCAATATTATCAACAAATTTCGGCCATAAATTTGGAAAAGTAATTGTACTCTAGTGGCTTGAGTATGGAATTGTGGCTCAAGCTCCCGACTACCGAGCTTGAACATCAAACCTTTTATTTCCGCACTTTAGTTATTAGCTTCTGGTATTAGAGAACTTAAAATTGGTACTATATGTTAAAATTGATGTTTTAAAATAAAATTAATGTATATATATTTTCAAAATTTAATATGTAAAATTGTGAGTATTAAAACTTTATCGATAAAATCAAAAAGTAACAATCAAAAATGTATTTTTAAAATGTATGATAAATTAAACATTAAGCTTTTAAATAAATAGAGAGTATATTTTTGTCGCGTAACTTCGTGAGAATTACTCAATAAAAAAATACTCACAAGAAATTGTTTACAAACTATTTATAATACAATAGATAGGATAGTGAAATTGTGCAGATGTTAAAGAATAATATGTAAATATGTAAGCATATATAATATGTTAAAGAATAATATGTTAAAGAATAATTTGTAAGAATGTAAGCATATATAATATGTTAAAGAATAATATGTAAATATGTTAGCAAATGTTAAAGAATAATATGTAGACATGTAAGCAAATGTTAAACATATCCCCTATATATTAATTGAGAAACATTTGAAAAGATGTAACCTCAAGTTTGTATTAATTAAAAAGTAACCTTGCTTAGTTGTCAATCAATTACCATACCAATTAAACTGACGTGGCAGCTTTAGGTTCAATTGAAATTTGCTAGGGAAAAATAATTAGAGACGCATATAACGCATGTAACATAGTTTATATATTTATATATATCGCACGCATGTAATGGAAGAAAAGGAAAATATACGATTTGATAACGATTTGCATATATTAACTATAATAGCTTCATTCCTTTTAATTTATGGAAGTGTATATGTAAAATGGAAATTACTTTGTGACCAAGTACATACTTAATGGTAAAGGCAAGTGTATATGTAAAATGTAAAACTTAATATGTTAACTTGGGAATTTATGTTAAAATTGATATATGCAAATCGTAAATATTAATAGTAATTATGGAAGACCTCTTACCTATTAATACTATCACCTACTATTTCATTCGACGTAATAAGGCACAAGAAAAAATTTCTTTAAAAAATGACGACCATCAGTTCTGTTCTCGACTTGAAACCTTTCAAAAAGAACTGGAAGATGAAGGTTAAAGTTATTCGATTGTGGAAACATAATGCAGACGCTTGTGGTAAAACCATAGAGATGGTTCTATGCGATATTAAGGTAGTTTGTTCAGAAGTTAATATGTTTTATGTAATATTATATCAATTATTTTGTTCACTAATAGCTTTACCGTTTTTAATAATAAAACAAATATATATATATATATACAGATTAAACTATATACCATATAAGATTACATAAATATTATAATTTCAAAATTTTCAATAAATTTACAAGAACATTTATAAATTATAAACTTATTAAATTTTCACATTGAAT